ACCAAGTGGGACCAAAACGTGAAGGAATTCGAGGTCGTCGAAGTCGTCAGCGACGTAAGTGCCCTTAAAGAACTGTTGCGGTGTGGTTAACGGAGCCTGGTGTTCGCATGCATCCGGCTTGTCCAGACCATGCCGAGCCGTACGGGCGCTGAGCCTTGGTTAGAAGCTTCCGCCTTAGGAATGCTGCAGCCTGGCGCTCCAGCTCCCCACACCTTGTGGGACTGGCCAGTACTCACCAGTTCGGTAGAAACCTTTGGACTGGGGAGCCTCTCGCCACAGAGCACTGCAGAAGGGGATGTCGGTGTTAAGATTTCTGCAGCTTAACAAGTCCAGTTATCAACTTGTGATACGATACAAAGAAGTTATCTTTGTTAGCTTACTGAAAAGGAGAAGCCCTATGATCATAGATGTGCCAGTTTTGCTTTTCAGCATCCCTTGCGATATATCTGTCCTTAACCTGGAAGCAGATGCTTTAATACTTTATTTTTCTCCACTAAACTCTCCTTCATCAACACACCTTAGCACCTTTTGACTGTGCTGACTTGGTTTTTGTACAACATAGAATGGAATAGAACTCCTTGATACAGTTTAGAAAGCATAACTGAAAGAGCACCAGAAAGGACAGGGATTTTTTGCTGTATTTCTGAAAGCATCAGCTGACATAACTGCGATTTCCAGACTGTCTCCGTATGCAGAACCACAACGCCTTCAGCTTTCATGAGAATTATTTCACCAAGAGAATTTGTGGATGTGGTACTAATGAAGCAATATGAAGATGGGACAATGCTCTCTGCTGGTAAGATGCTTTTGTTCTCAACATGTTCACATTATGCCAGGAGGTAACCAGCTGCTACTGGAAAGAAATAAAAAATAAAAAATAAGTAACATGCTGTTTAGTAGTTGTTGATCTGATCTTGGTCAGAAGGTAAAATAGTGTCTCTACATTGTTGTTCTCAGGGTGTCTAAGGCACCTTAACACTCAGATGGTGATACTGTGGGCCTACGGTTTCTTGCCTTGCTATACTTTTGAGATTGAATAGGTACTTAATTAACTATTAAATTCTGGGGAGTTTAGTTGTTGCTCTATTAAGAAGTTACAGAATTTTCTAAAATTCTCATTTGGGCTAAATCCTGTTTTAACATTATCTGCACTGCCTCTTGATGTGGTGAAGCCATTGAATAAATGTACCACTGCTGTATGTGGAAATGATTGTTCTTGTGAAACCAAAGAGTGCTCGTTTTTAAGGGGATGCCACTGTGTGGAAGTACGCTGCTTTTTTTTAAATTTTTTTCCACTTTCATCCTGTTGTTTGCCTGTTACAAGTCAGTGCTTTTATTACCCCACTCCCATCCTCTTCAGGAATGCATTGCCAGGAGTTAACATACTTGCAAGAGCACAGTTTCTCAGCAGTTAAGTGGCATATACCCGTGTGTCATCAGTTTGTTGGAAGTAACTTGAATGACCTCTCAAGAAAATCAGTGCCATAACCCAATATGGATTCAGTGAAACTCCTTCAAAGTGTCTTTCCTGCACTAACAATTGCTTCTAAGTTCAACACTTCCCTAATTTCTCCATTCTGTAGTTGAGCAGTTCCTTTTAATGGTCTTTTCTGACTGCTTGTATGCCACAGCCCCCCTTGGGAAAGGTTATACTGCTTTGCTTCTCAGCTGGTGCTGTGAGTAAACTCTTCCCCATCTTCTGTGAAAACAATTTTCTTGAATGCTTTTTCTTATAGCCACCAATGTGGAACACCCGCTGTGTCCTCCTCGACCAAATTTTGTGAGAGGTTTTAATTATCCCTGTGGCTGTTTCTGTATACCTCTTCCAGGGTAAGAAGTTTGAACATTATGTATTCTAAAGTTCTTCTTGTGCGTTGTGTGGTGTGTAATTTGTATATGGCCATATGTGATCTGTAGCCTTCTGGCAATGCATGTTTCTGTCTGTCTTTGACTGGTAATCATTATGACCAAGTGCCCTGTTTGTTCTCTTTGTTACGCAATGAATTAGTCCCTCTTCATTTACTAGAGGGAAGTTTTTCGTATTACAGAAACTATCATGGTAAGATTCTCACTGACATCTTAAGCAGTGATTCAGCAGAACGTAGAAATAATTTTTGGTAAATGAGTATCTGGTTTTTTATTACATTGTCGTAATTCATAAAAAAGTACCTAATTAGGGCCTGGTTTAACTGTAATTTGACTTGTGGAGATAGCCACATTCACTGAAATTTGGAAGTAATGTCTCTGTTGTTTGCTTAAAAAAAAAAAAAAGGACTTTAAAAATATCTATCATTAGACAGTACATGTAAGGGTCATTTTAAAGTTCTTCATACTTTTAAATCACTAGCTATAAAATCACTTGTATTGTCTTTGCAGGGAGCCAGACAGGACTCAGCTCCTCAGTTTCTTTCAGACTGATCTTGGAGGCTATCTTCCCCAGACAGTGGTGGATTCCTTTTTCCCAGCAAGCATAACTGGATTTTACAGTAACCTGACCAAAGCTGTTAAAGCATTAAAAGCATGACAAGACCATTCGCTGACATGACCAGCTGAGGGTAGGAAAAAAACCTGCCAGCTTGAGGGGAGAAACAGGAAGTTGGCTTACGGGGCTTTTCTACCAGCAAAGATACTTGGGAAAGGGCAACAATGAATTGAGTGAATTTTTAAAACAGCATTTTCTACCTGTCTGTATGCAAATGCATTATATTTCGTTTTCCTAATTAGAAAAATATCACAGCGGAGGCTGGAAGAATCCTGGAGGCAGCACTGGTGGCTGTCTGCAGGGAGAAGGTGCTCATGTTGGATCTGTTCTTGGCTGCGCTTTGTCAGTGTCTGTGAGGAGGAGTATGGCTAAAAATCCACTTAGCACTACAGCCTTAGCTGAGTGCAGGTCAGCTCTGTTTCGTCCCTGAGACTCCCTGTAGACTCCTGTGGAACAAATTTCCTTCCCCACAAGAAGAAGTAGCTCTTTTGCTGCTGGCACTCTAGGTGCTATGGTGGGTTTAAGCCAGCAAATGGTAAAAGCCAGAATAAATTGGGTTGTGTGGAGGATCCCACTTGTTTGTTCCAGCAAACTTCTGTAGTAATGGTAAATATGCCTTAAATGCTTTTTATTTTTTTACTTTTTTTTAAATCAAAGTCTAGCAATACAAATCAATTTGTAGGTCTGTGATCTGGCAAACAGACACTCTTCCTTTTTCCCCTCTGTACCAAAACGAGCGATTTCCACAGTGCCATGAGACAAGCTGCACTGACATAGTGGCAATAAATAAAGAGGATTAAGCACTTTACTTGCCATTTTTTAAACTGCACTTGAAGTGACCGTTTTTAACTGGACTTGAATGTTTTTTGGTCTCTTGTGAGAGGTTGTAGCAGGTAAATAGTCTTTTCTGTAGCTTTATCTTGACTTGACATGCCATAAGGACATTGCTTTTTTTCTAAGCCTGGTTTGCCTCACAGCGCTATCTTGGGAAATCAATGCGTGATCTTGTCTGCAGTGATGTGTCCACCTTGAGAAAGTATTTATGCTGCTGGTTACTGCAGGAATATCAGACATTACTATGGATTGTATATAATTAAGAAAGGACAACTAATTGCTGAACTAGGAATTTAAGCGCGGTTTGTGATTTTGATGCTGTGGCTCAACTGTTTAACTAGGTTAATATGCTCTGCTTTCCATCCCTGGATTTGTTTCATATTTAGTATAGGGCATGGGCTTGCACACAAAGTTTCCCACTGTAAATTTTCCCCCATGAACAGATTTTTCAAGGAAACAGTTCTTAGTCTAGTCTCCTTTGTGTACAAAGATGTAAAAACTTGTATGAGTGTTATGAAATAAATATTTTTCTGCTACATCTTGCTGTTTTTTTCTGACCATCTTTTAAAATGGGTCTTCATGCACCTGCTTTGTCATCAGGGAAACACTTAGACCTCCAGCATCTTTCTGAATTCAAGGCAACAAGAGAGGGAAAAGTCTTCACTCCCTTTTATACTCCTCACTTACTAGGGTAAAGGTGCTGTGGTGAGAACACTCACTCTCCCAACTTCTTTGCCTTTGGTTAATTATTATTTCCGATTGCTGCTTTTTCTGTACTTACAAAGAATAACAAATTCACTGAGGAGAGATTTGGGCCCTGATAAAAAAAAGACTCATACATGTTTATCTAAGTGTGCTAAAGTTGTTAGGCATGAAGTACAATATCTCAGCAAGTCTTTGCAAGATTATGATTAATTTAATTAGCAAAAATTCAAGGAAAAGAGCTCAGGTCACTACTCGTTATTGCTGCAAGTAAACTTTAGCAGTCAGTGGGGTGCTTTCTTATATATGGAATGTTATTTTTGTTTATATGAGTAATGAAGGTGGTAGGTGGGGTTCTGGCTTGAGATAACAAGGATCCTTTTTCTGAGTGCTCAGAATGTTCTATCCAGAAGGAATTAAGAGCCCTTAATGTTCAGCCTTCTTCCCTGCCAAACTGGAAATGGAAGTGTCTTGGCAAAGATGATCTTGTCCTCTTGGAGGATGCCCCAGTGAGACATGCTGCCTGTCGCGCAGCATGTTTTAACTTCTTTTGATCCTGGCAGATGCCATAAAATGCAGAGGCATGCAAAAACTGAAAAACTTTGGAAGTGAAGTGAGAAGAAGCGTGAACAGCAGGTCAAGGGAGGTGATTCTGCCCTTCTGCTCTGCTCTTGTGAGACCCCACCTGGAGTAGTGCATCCAGTTCTGAAGTCCCCAACGCAAGGAGGACATGGGCCTGTTGGGAGTGGGTCCAGAGAAGGACCACAAAGATGATCAGAGAGCTGGAACATCTCTCCTGCGAGGACAGACTGAGTGAGTTGGAGTTGTTCAGCCTGGAGAAGAGAGGGCTTCAGGGAGGCATTATAGTGGCCTTCCAGTACCTGAAGAGGGCCTACAAGAAAGCTGGAGAAGGACTTTTTACAAGGGCATGTGGTAATAGGACAAGAGGCAATGGTTTTAAACTAGAGCAGGGTATATTTAGATTAAACATTAGGAAGAAGTTTTTTACTATGAGGGTGGTGAGACACTAAAACAGGTTGCCCAGAGAAGCTGTGGATGCCTCATCCCTGGAAGCATTCAAGGCCAGGCTGCTGGAGCTTTGAACAACCTGATCTAGAGGGAGGTGTAGGGGGTTTGGAACGAGATGATCTTTAAAGTCCCTTCCAACTCTAACCGTTTTATGTTCCTATGACATTAAATAGCTGTATCAGGTGAGGATGCCTTCAGCAGGTGGCATTGAAGTAATTAAAACATTTGGTGCCATGGTAGTTATGCGGCTGACCAAAAAGTGTGGTCTGTCTTTTACAGGAAGTAGATTTAACAGGACTAAAACTTTCAGGCCTGCCTTTCTGTACAGAAGTCATTTATGTTTTTCCTGTGTTGGTGGTATGGGCAAGTAGCTGAAAAATCTTAGAATTTTTTTATATGCACCAGGCCTTTACTTAGACTTTGTTAAGCCTAAAGCAATAATGCAGAGTAAGTTAAACACCAGAAATTCTACTCTCAAAAAGGAATATTCAGACTTTCAAGTAGGTACCAATTTAAGAAAAAAAATGTACGAAAAGATTTCCTCTCACATTTTTTTCTAATTTATAGAACCTTTGTTTTGAGGATTGCTTGTCTGATTTTTTGGGAAAGACAACTCAGCTGGGAAGTGGGTTGGAAGTGTAGGGGCAGATGGCTTGTCAAGAACATTTGTTCAAGGAGTTGGCTTGTGAGGAAAGGCCAAAGCAAGTTGTGTGCTTGGATTCAGTTAATACTTTCTGCTATCTATCCTATTTTCCTTTCTCTCAATTGTTGTTCCTGTCACATTGTGTTAAGCTCGTGGGAAATAGCTTTTGAACTCCTGAAGTTTACAATTTGGTGAAATTAAGTAATCGAAGAAGGGTGCAGTAAATTCCTAACTATAGGAATGTGAACAGCCAAGGACAACAACCAGTGCAGCCATCTGGCTTTCAACTGGGAAGGTACGATTTCCATCCTGATGTTTCATCTCTCCCTTTAGTGAAGTAGGTCAGAGAAGACCAAATGGGTGCACATGACCGCATACCTTGCCATAGATACACGTGCTGCTGCTGGTAGAATTCCACTCAGTGCTTAGAGAGCACTGCCAAAGTGCCGACAGCGGAGTTTGGAGTACAGCTTTGTCTCCAAGCTGTTTTAGTGTTTCCAGTAAAAAACATTTGGATTCAGAACTCCTAATTCTCAAGCACTCTCACTGGTACTTTTCCATACAAAATTAACAGAATGACATTTTTAAAAAATATTTGTGGTTAAAAGGTAAGACTTCTAAATGGCCTTGCTGCTCTCCTGCTGTAGTCTTCTGAGACCTCTGACCAGAGGAAGGTTAGGAAAACCTTCGCTATAGACACTCCATTCCCCCCACGCCATGCTTGCCTGCTCGACTTGAGATGGTTCTATCAGCTGCTAGTAGAAAGCTACCTTGACATGTTTTGGTTCTCCTGGATGTCCTGTGGCTTGTATGGTTTAAGATTCAGTCTGGAGTTTTTCAGGGCTTGTTGTCATTTTGACACACAATGTGCAACCCGCTTTTTCTGCCCTTTATACATTCTCTAGAGCTTTACATGATCTCTAAGACAGTGTTTATTTGCAGACACATCTCCTCCTCCTGGGAAGGTAAGGCAGGGAGCAAGAATGTAGAATAGGACTAAGCACAGAATGTGCTTCCGATACGTGTTAATAGTTCGGAAAAGGAGAGCACTACAGGTGTCACGTATTTTATTACAACCAGTATATTATTAATAAAGTCATTATTTTATAATTCTACACTTTATAACATCTGTTTCTGAATGTTAAAAATAAGAACCATGCATAATTTGTGCACAGCTTATTTCATCCCAGCCAGCTTGCTCTGTAACTGGCAGTAAGGTCATGTGTACTTTTCATATGTACTTTCTGAGTATCTTGCTGTACTAGCCAAATAGCTGCAAGTAATAAAATCCTTTTTTGTTCATAATATTGGCAGTAGTCTAACTCCTCCTCTCACCAAGTTTCAGATGACTTGGTGGTAAGAGAGTTTGGATTCTTCCTCTTGATGATAGCTGTGATGGGCCCATCAGGTAATGCCTTGATGATGTTCCATGCTTCAAACCGAGTGAGTCCCTGCATGGCAGTTGTGTGCACTTGTAATAGCTCATCGCCAGGCTGAACAGGGCTGCTTTGTTCTAACGTAGTCCCTGAAGAAAGAGAATTAATTTCCCTTAATTCTTTGTGTTGAGGAGACTTTAATGTATCTTTCACTTATTAAGGATCACCAGCATGTTTGGTATAAACCACCTGGTCTCAATATGCACCAGATTACCGGCACTGCACAGAATAATGCTGCATTTACAAAAAATACCATTTTAATGGGCAGACATCAGCAGTCAGTTACAAACTGCACAAACTTGCATAATCTAAGAACCCCTCACGTATGCTTTAACTGTATTTACCTTTAAATATCCTGTTGATTGTGATAGGTTTATCTCCATGAATAGAGCCCTTCCCTCCTCCCAGACTGAATCCTAAACCAGCAGGTGTTTTTTCTAGCGTTAGAGTGCAGATTGTATCTTCTGTTGCTGGAAACAAATGGAAAGTTAGCAGATGGGCACCATGTAGTCTGAAAAGATTAAATATTGGTTAAAAAAATAAAACTTCTGTTTTGTTTGCAGAGGCACCCATAAATGTTTATGTCAAGGGGGAGTGTCAGGAGGACAGAGCCAGGCTCTTTTCAGCGACATCCAAGGACAGGACAAGGGGCAATGGGTACAAGCTGGAACACAGGAGGTTCCACAGAAATATTAGGAAAAACTTTTTCACTGTGAGGGTGACAGAGCACTGGCACAGGCTGCCCAGGGAGGTTGTGGAGCTTCCTTCTCTGGAGACATTCAAAACTCGCCTGGACACGTTCCTGTGCGATCTACTGTAGGTGATCCTGCTCTGGCAGGGGGCTGGACTAGATGATCTTTTGAGGTCCCTTCCAACCGCTGACATTCTGTCATTCTATGAAACTGCCAAATGAAAGAGAAAACTGTAACTTGTAATTCCACTTTTTGTCATTGTAAGGCCTTCTGGGAAGCTGGTAAGAGAAAGTTGTGTTTGAATTGATGGAAGAATGGAAATATAAAGATGAAAGCTGGTGATGTTTACTAAAATTAGAAAAATCGGTTTAATGAACAAAATTTAAGGTGAACATACTTGACTTTGTTACTTATGAAATCATCAACAGTGAAGCTGCTAATCTTTATCTGAAGTATGTAAATAAAGCTACAGATCTCCAGAACATGCTTTAGAAACCACAAAAATATTTTAAGAATCATAGATCATAGAATGGCCTAGGCTGGAAGGGACCTTAGAGCTCATCTAGTCCAACCTCCCTGTCATGGGCAGGGACGCCACCTCTCGACTAGACCAGGCAACACATGGGGACCGAGCGGGAATGTGAAGAGTTCTGCAAAATTGTGACCTTGCTATGTTTCAGATGTAGCTACCTGCTATATGAAACAATAGCATATTGTTCAAAATGAAACTGTCACAGAGAAAGGCTTGTAGACTAGAATCTAATATTAGAATGAAGAATGACTGCTCACTGAGTTGTCATTCTACCTTCAATTAGATGTTGCTACAAAAACAATCTTTGTATGTCTGCAGAAATTCATAGAGAGGATCACATTTGGTTTATTTCAGAGGGTTTCTTTATTTTGGAAATTCATTAATTCTTTCCCTTTCCAACAAAGTTATTCCAAATGTCTGTTTCAGGAATGTTTTATTAACTATGCTATCTTTAATTCTAGTTCTCAGATTTACACAGCCAACACTGAGCTGCTTTATGAACACCTGGATTTCAAGGGATGAGGTGACACTTAAGAGGTGCGAGCTGTAGGTAATGCCACTGAACTTACCAGACTCTTGTGAGGCATCACTTGCTACTGAAGATGTACTAGAGTCAATGGAAATATTGACGTTTTTTTCCCCATCTTTAGCTTTTCTAGTGACAACAACAGCTTGTCTGGGTTGTCGAGCCTGTCGCATGATTGCTGAGGCATCGTTGTGAGTTGCACCTTTAAGAGACTTCCCATTAATGGATAGTACTTCATCTCCTTTCTGAATAGTTCCTTCCTGAGATGCCAGTCCATTGGGAAACACCTTGTGAACCTAAGGAGGAGCCCAGTCACCACACACACACACACAAGGAAAGAGAGGAAGAAAAGGACAAATCACTAAATCACTCATTTAATACTTTTTACCATGTGCATATTTCATTCTTTTCCAGGCACAAGTTGTTTCTAGCACATTTCAGAACAGAGGCCTGAATAAACTTGTACAGAATTCTCCTAGGCACAGCCCTCCTCACGCAGCTACGTTTAGCCCTGGCATCAGACGGCCAAAGCCTTCCTGCCCATGGTACGTACCTCACATGTGCTACCTCCTGACCCCTCTCACTCTGCTAGAGGGAGCAAGAAGTTGTGAGGCTAGTCTCTAGCTTCCAGACCTTTTACATGTCTACGCGCTCAATTCGTTCCTCTTGACCACCCTGCATGGTCTTCTGTAACATGTAATTATGTGTTGGTTGCTTTCTCCGGTTGTTGTTCTGCCTTCGCTTTCAGAGCAGTTGAGGAGCTCGGTGCCCAAGGAAACAGGACACGCTGCTAGTCACCTGCAGAGGGCAGCTCTGTGCAGAAAGTCCATTTTCACCCATTAAGACCATGATTCTTGTGACTCTTTCAGTACAGCTGCCTACTTTGATTACGCAAATAGTCAGCCTCTGTAGTAGAAAAACAGTAAGTTATGATACTAGTGTTTTTCAAGAAGGATGCTACTTACTGTTATCACTTTGTTTTCTAGATCAATGCCCCCTGCCAGGCTGAATCCAAGGCCAGTATCTTCTTCTTTATGCAAAACCGTAACGTGAATATCATCAAATTCCTAGGAAGAGAGAGAAATAAAGTGAAGAACTTCCTAATAGACATGTTAAGATGATTGGAAAAGCAGCATGTTTTCTTTTTGTCCATTGTGCATTTTAGAATGAGACTTATAAGCATAATACTGAGATATATTTAGTATTTAGTTAGATCAAATTACCTACTGATTACCTATTTTACAAAATGCTATTCTGTGTCTAAAATAATACTGGTTTGGTAAACAGGTTATCAGTTGGATCTGGACTATAAATTGAATTATATTAAAGACTATAGATGCCATGTACTGTAGAAACAAAATATTGCTGAGTCATATTAGAGTACCTTTTAATTGAAAAAGTGGAAAAATAATTTGGCATACAACTCACATGGGTACAAGTGTCTCAGCTTAAAAATTGCTTCTCATTTTTAGCAATGTTTTGTTAATAGGCAGAATAAGCTGTCACTCTGTTATCCCAAAGAATGAGTTTGAATAGGATAATGACTCCTGTTTAACCTAGTTTCCTAAGGAGACATGGCTGTCTTGACCACAATTTCACAATCACATTCAGTACATGAGCAATTATAGTTGCATCTTTTCATATTGTGTTTTGTTTCCTTCCATAATTAAATCTACTTGCCAGCTGCAACTAGGCAGAGGGTATGTGCTGCTCGGAAATTATCCTGAAAATTCCTTGAAAACAGACTTTACATGACAAAGAAGCTACTGTCTCACTGAGGGCAACACTGCAGCTTTTAATGCTAACCAGACTGAAAATAGCCACATGGGATGCTGACAAGAAACAGAAATTGATACAAAACTGGGCTTTCATAAATTCTGCTTATCAAAGTGCTGCTTGATTGCAACTTAAGAGCAAATGAATCCAGTAAGACTTGAGGTTGCTCAGTGTCCCAAAAATGCGGCATTACCTGCTGAATAACTGTTACCCCGTTCGTTAAACATGTCTTACTCTTGCTTAGTTATCTTCAAAAACTTCTTCAAGTTTTTTGCTCAAAAAACTAAACATTACTGCATGTGAAGGTGACTGCTTTATATGGTATAATACCAAGTTGCAAGGATTAACCAGGTGCATTTACTCCACAGCTTTCTGAACGAGTAGTAGAAGAAAAAGCAGATTTACCTTTAAGGTTGCTTCATCTAGTGACTTGACTTCCTCAATAAGCTTTGCTAGTTCTTCAGGGGAAAGCAAAGAGATGACAGATTGCCCTGACACACCAGATGCTTGAGGTGAGCTGTGTTCCTGTTTCTCTTCCTCTTTCTCATTGTCTGCTAGGCTCACAGTATATTCTCTCAACTCGGAGAGGCTGTCCCATTGTGACAAGAATAAAAAAGAAGCCTTGAGTTACAAAAGAACATACTGCAAAAGCATAACACTGACAATTTTGGAGCAGCCATCTTTTGATCTTACAGCATTTAATTGGGATGCTAGCTCCTGTGAGAATTATTATAAATACATGCAAACATAAATTAATCATGTTAGTCTAATGGAAGTAGGATCTGTCACATATAAGTGTAGAAATAATCTCTTGGCCTGAGGCAAAAAAATCCCAAACTTAAATCTCCTTTATTATGGCGATTCTAGAAATATTACTCTAAGTAGGAGGAAATTTGATATATGCATGTTCTTATTTACTACAAATTTAAACCAAGTGTAATAGTCATGTCATTCAACCTTTGTGCTCTAAAATGTTCTTAATTTAGTCTATGCTGCTACCTTAGACTGCTAATCTGTCACTGTGTCAGCGCAGATGCTCACCAGTACTGATGTGTAAATTTGATTTTTAAATATGGTTTCTTACTTCAGTGAAAACCCAGTGTCCAGGTGATGATTCTCACTTGCAGGTGAAGGAGAAATCCTATCCTCCTCCACAGAGGACTGAGACAGTGTCTCCAGAGTTTCCCATGCGCTGTTTCCAGAAGAGGCTGGAGACTGAGGAAGGCAGAGCAAAGATTTCATTAAAGCAGATGACACCTGGCTACTGATGGAATAGATTTTGCTACACTTTTCATAGTACGGCTTCATCATCTCACAAGACTGAGTAGCAGTGAGTGGGAAGCTTCGTGATCTCAGGCTGTGTGCTTTTGCTGCCGATACGAGATGGGAAGTTGCAACGGCTTCTGTAGTTAAGAGACCTGAGGTATTGCCAGTGATGACGTTGTTGTTTTTCTCCGAGCTAGCCGCAAAGACCTCTCTGGGAGAGGAAGATCTATCTAGGCTCTTTGTACCCATGACCACAGGTGACTGTTGTTGGCTAGTTTCACCATGCTGGAGAAAAGCTTGGTTTAAATGGGCTAGAGCTGCTGCAGTAGGAGAGTGTTCTTTCTGGACTGATGGTTTCAGGCTAAACCTTCGATGTATTTTTTCAGGTGACTGCGGAGCACTCAAGGATTCAAACGAGCTTATCCTTTGTTTTATTGACGATCCCCTAGGAGAGACACGAGATAAGCTGGATTGCAGTTCTTTGCTGGAAATAGTCTCAAGGTCAGGAGAACTTTGATTTGCCTGTGGTTTTAGACCTGAATTTCCTTTCCTCAGTCCTTTCAGACTCTGGCGAAACCAGGCTGGCTTAGGTGCAACAGGAGGACCCTTTTTCACACTGTCGTTTTCATCTGATTTTAGCACTTTTGAACCGACTATTTCTGATTCTGATTTCTTCAGAACTGTCTCTGAGCTGCTTTGATTTTTCTTCTCTTTGTTTGTGTCGATGCTGGGTTGCAAATCCAAGTGGACATTGTCTTCACTCATGGTAGGATTAAATAAGCTTTTTATGCAGTCAGAAATTTTTACCCAAGGATCTTCTGTTGTTGTATCAAGACTATAATCTACCCGTGCTTGTCTTTTAAGTACAGGCCTTTGTATTGATGAAAGTGGATTCCCTGTATTAGAGAAACATTGATTATAAACAAGCCACCTGCTACTTCTCCATTCCTTATCTATGTATTGAGTTTACTTCATTAAATTTGAATTTCATTCAGGCCTCCAATAGGTATTTTTAAAAATTTCTAAAAAGTTTAAACTTTTTTAAAGTACACAACTCTTGATCTACAAGTTCTGATTCTTGAAATAAACTGAAAAATAAGGGTTTTCTGTGCTTATATACAAGATCCCTTTTCTAAGAAGCCTGAAACTTTTAAAGGTAACACGAAGTTCTGGGGTGCTGAAGTCAGAATATATGCTATAACAGTTAAAATAGAAGGCAATGTTGTTTGCAACCTGGTGAAAAAGCTGATGTTGCAGTAAATTATTTTTTAAAATCATTCTTCTCTCCTACCTTTATATCCCACTCTGAAAAGACTCTCTCATTAAGATCTTTCATTAATATTTATGATTCTTTAAATTCACACAGGCATTTCCAGTTGTATTTTTCTAGTAAGAACTTTAATTCTAATGTAGGAAGAATCACAGCAATAGAGAACCTATCCCTTAACACTTTTTATAGTAATCTATTATGTTTATTTTGATATAGTTTCACTTATTTTTTCCCCCAAAGATTAATCAATAATTTGAGATTTCATCTGCTCACCCCAGAATTTACATGTGTGGGTTGAAGAGACATGTGAAGTCAGCTTGATATTCATTTTGGAAGCCAAACTACATGCTAGGTTTACCTTTAGCTAAAAAAAAAAATGTGGAATTAAACATACCTAAGTCTGCTTTTCTTTCTTGGTCTCTGCCTGCTGGAACAGCACTTATGTGCTCAGTATCATATTCTGTAGGAGAAGTGGTAAAGACACTGTGGGTTACATCAGTTTGATGTCCCTCTAGCATTGGTTCTTCAACTTCCTGCTCAACAAACAGGAAACAGAAGTGTGTCAGAATGTAATTATACAAACCACACTACATATGAATCTGAAACACCCCCCCTCATATTTTAATTTGTTTTTAATCTGAAAAGAAATATTGAATAGAACTCAAGCTTTCACTTCTGCTTGGGGTTTAATCCTCATAGCACTTGATTCATTCTACATTTCAAGACTGCTAGCATGGTATTTTATGGTTACATTTATAAACAGCCTGTGAAAAAATGCAATTAACATCTCAAAAATTTAGTAATAAACTTTTTAATAAACTAAAGGACTGCCTACTGCGATTTTCAATTTTTGTAAGATCAGTCATTTGGTAGACTTTTGCAAACCAGTCAAGCAAATTTCCTCTAACTGCATTGAACTCTCTTTTCTGTTGAAGCCTTTTGCCTTTAAGCACAAGCTAGACAAGCTAAATCATTACTGCCGTTTCAGGATGCTCACTTTCTTGGTTTTGGCTGGAAATATAGGGTGAGAGGATCAGTCTGAGGTTGCAGTAAGTACCACTCTCACCATTATTAAGACATGCTCTGGAATTACTTGATTCCTTTGTAACCAGTGATACCAAGTTACCGTCTGCTCTGTTGTGACACTTGAACTGCTCTCTGCTGTGTAGATAAGCTTCAGGATGACTAATAGAAAGCAAAACCAAACAGGACAGAAAGTCCTGAAAAAAAATCAGTAATTGAACAATTTCTTAGCTTTTCTGTAATGGAGTCGTGTTTGTTATGCAACTTCTTTATTCTAGGAAAACTTTTCTCCTTCCCCTACTTGCTAGGGTCCTTCTTGAATGTTTCACTTGTGTTCTGTTACTGTTACACACGGACATCAGTCAGTGAAACAGTCAGTTTGAAAGAACTATAAACATACAATTTGATCTCACTCTTTATTGGTGGCAGTTTTTCTTACTTTTTTTACCGATGCAATTTAAAGCACAGTTGAAAACATCAATTAAACATTCTTGGTTATGAAAAAAGCAGCCTTATAGTCTATAGAAACACCGTATAAAACTGTGGTATGCAGGCCTCAAACTGTCTAATAATTAATGTTTGAGGAACAGAGGTTGAAAAAAATAAAAAAACAAACCAGTAAGAAAACCTCCTCTTAGTGATCTGAAATATGTCCTGACAAGAAACCTTCTCTCCTGGGGACTTAAAGGAGCTATTGCCCTGAGATATAGACTGTCTTTCTAGAGGCAGTTATCTTCATTGACAGAGCTTGATTTTTCATGGACTTTATTTATATTAAGATTTTTTTTTTCTCCTTGTCATTTAGAATAGCTGAGTATATAGTATATATTTAGAATCTGAGCTTGACTTTTCACAGACTTTATTAAGATTTTTTTTTTCTCCTTATCATTTAGAATAACTGAGAATAGTAAGTTGCATGCAGTGACCAGTTCAAAAAGTATTTATTTCCCTGGTTCTAGTAGCTGTTGATGAACGTGTTTCTACTGCTCTCTTAATGGATGGCAAAAGAAGAGTGACCTTACATGAGGTACTGCATTGAAACTGTCTTCGATATTAACATTATAGGTGGACTTCAGTTTGAGCTGTATAATTTTATTCTGATCTCTACAGCGTGGGAACTGGTTTGTTGGTTGTTGTGGGGTTTTTTTGCATTGAGGTCTGTTGGTTTCTACTGGCATATTACTGAACCAAGGGGAAAGAGGTTTCATTTTTAAACAAACCACAACTTTGTTTCAACATGCAGCTCTCACAATTACTCAGGTTCATGCAAATGTGAAACACTGTCTTCCTGTTCTATCTTAGGTAGAGAGGAACTGAAATTTACTAACGTACAAATATATACTCGGTTTTCAAATACTGTAGCCTTGTAAATTAAATGAGTTTATTTAGTGCTTCCTGGCACATGAGCCCAAGATTACCTGTTGTGGATAATTTTAGTGATTTATTGCAGTAAAAATCCATAAATTCTCTATTTCATAAATTGACTCTGTGAGTGTCAAGGTTAAGATCCACCACACCAAGATGACAACAGAGGCTGTGCAATCTCCTCCAGTCCCAGCCCAGAGACTGTTCAGTCACGCTGGAACCAGAGCGGTCAATGCCACCCGTGGCACATGTGTATGAGGAATGACAGTGAGGGACTCAAATTCATTCTCGTTGGGATTTTAACTCGGATTCCTTGATATGGAAGATAATTTCCTTCAGATGTTTCTCTGGCTTCTGACCTTATTTTGAACATTCCATGTTATATTAAACTGACTTCACTAAGATACATATGTTATTTTCAAACCAGAAGAGCCTTCTTCCAGTCCTCACATATGTTTGTATATGTTCTTCCCTGCCCTTCCTCCTGCCATCATACAAAGTCATCTTGCTTTCCTCCTTCCCGTTTCACAAACATGGAAACACAAGAAAAATTTTGCAGATTTTGCTTTACCTGAACACTCACAGAAGGTGATACAGCCACTTCCGATGCAAGCTTTTCTTTTCTGTCTGCATTACCCTGGTCATTGCATGTACAGTCCTGCTTAAAATATTTCCTTGGTGGAGGTTTGGGTTTTGATGATTTAGGTTTTCTAACGAGGATCTCTGATGATTTCCTAGTGTTTTGCAAGGGTCGACTACCTTCACTGCAAATAGGAGGGGAATTTCTTTCTGAACTATTAGCAGACAATGAGTACAGCAGGCCAGGCTGTCTGGTAATTGGTACATCAATGCTATGTACTCTTGCTTTCAAGTCATTCAGTTGAAACGCAGCACCGTTACTGCATGAGGACCTGGGGTTGTAGCTGCTGTCACTGCTGGAGCGGGTCATTAGCTTCTGAGTCCTGTGGTTGCTATGAGCAGCATTCCTTTCAATATGTTTTTCACATGGGTGTCTTCCATGCCAGCTTGTTTCTAGTTTTTTAACACCTGTATTGGGAACATGTTCAAAATGTCTATTCAGATAGAGGCAAGCGCTCATTTGGTCAAAGAGTCAATGGTTATATTCTTGGAGAAAATTACATTTTCCCTATATGTATAGATATATAGATATCAGCAGTATAATTTTACTGATAATGATTCTGTAACCTTAGGTTATTTGGAAGAAATGAAGACCCTAAATGGAGTAACATTGCAATATGTTACTGTTGGAGGACGTCATACCCAAAGCAGGCAAATAGCTCTATCCATGACTGCATATACCTTTCATCACGAGAGGGATTAACAAGCTGTTTGTCCCCAGGACACCACCTGCATTGTGCAATTTCTTACTCTCACAGTCCTGTCACCTTCTGACAGTTGACTAAAAAGCTTTAAGCAGAGGTTACGAATTGGATAAGATGAGCAACCTTAAGAGAAGTTTCCACTAAAATTTTTGCTGGCCATCAAACAAATATGGTCTTTTCTCAACACTTGTCCTGGGTTTGAGCTAAAACCCAGTCCTATTTAGTGATTTTTACTTTTCAGTTTTAGTTTCTTCTAAAAGGCTGCACTTTCTGAAGTCAGCAGCATGTTTTCGTAGACAGTGCCTGCTACTAGCAGTGATAACACCTGATGTTTACAGTTACTGCCTGGGACTGGTATGCAGACAGGCTCTTGCTTATACTTATTCCTATAGTGACCAAGGCCACTGCTGGCTCTTGTGTGCCATGTTGGGGGTGCCGGGTAGTGAAGAGGGGTCACAAGGAAGTAAAAGGTTGC